CATCATCTATCTTCCTAATTTGGTGTTTGATAGGCTTTATCGCCTCCACTCGACTTTCCCATCACGTAGCACTCAGTGTTTCGGTGTCAGAGAGGACATTCCCTGATGCTGCTTCAAAATTTGTCATCGATGAGTTGATGCAGAGAAAAATACATAGATGCTTTGAATTACATTAAAAAATTCAGCAGCCTCACTAGAAGCTGATGCTGCATCACTGACCACGAAGTTCAATGACTGAGAACTGCATGGGCCAAAAAAAAGCTTGAGGGTTTAACTCACGGATCCGTGTCTACACTCCTCTGTTCTTTCCTCTCGTGTTGGCACCATTATCGTAGCCCTGACCTCTCATGTTGGTTATCGCAATTCCTGCATCTTCCAGCTTTTTAAAAAGCACATTTCTCATACCAGCTCCTGTAGTATCATCAATGTCAAATTCTAGAAAATGCTCTCTGACAGTCACCATTGCAGGGACGTTTTCACTAGGTTCTGTTGTTGTTACAAAACACACCATTAAAGTCATTTGTTCCGTATGGCTTATGTCAGGTGTGCAGTCCAGAATAACAGAGTAATATCTTGCTGACTTCAGATATGCCACAATCTTCTGTTTGACTTTTGTTGCCAGTAACTGTATGATCTCATTTTGAATTGTTTTTCCAAGGGAGTGGTGTGTGTACATTTCTTGGGTGGTGACTCTTCTTAGATGCTCCTGGAGTACAGCATCAAAGTCAGCCATCAGCTCCACAATTTTAAGGAAGTTTCCATTGTTTGGCACATACAGCTGATCTGAAGTGCCACACAGTGCTAGGTTTTGGGTAGCAAGCATTCTCACAATGGCAATGAGCCTTTTCAGAACATTTTGCCAGTAAAGAGACTCTGAGGCAATCTTCTCTTGATGCTGATCATCTATGGTGGCCTTTAACCTTAGTCTCATCTCAAGCTCTTTCCACCTATGGAATGCTCTCTGGTGATGTGCAGATTGATCTTGGAATGCCAGATTTCTAGCCAAAGTTTTCC